GGCTACTTCTGGCCTAGCATGGTGAGGGACGCCCAAGAGTTTGCTAGGAAGTGTGACAAGTGTCAGCACTTCACCACTGTACTCAGGCAGCCACCAGAGGAACTCACAGTCATCACAAGCCTGTGGTCCTTTTCCAAATAGGGCATCGACAACCTAGGCCCCCTACCCCTAAGTAGAGGCTAATGCAAGTTTGTAGTGGTTGTCGTCGACTACTTCACAAAGTGGGCAGAGGCAGAACCCTAGTAAAGATAACAAACTCAAAGGTTAAAGATTTTATTTGAAAAAACCTGGTCTGCTGCTTCGGGATACCCCACGCTATTGTCAACGACAATGCCAAACAGTTCGACAACAAGTTCCTGAATTCCTTCTGCTCTGACCTCCAAATAAAACAGCCTCATTCTAGCTTAGTGTACCCGCAGGCAAATAGACAAGCAGAAGTCATGGTGAGAACGGTGCTACGCAACCTAAAGATAAGGCTCAAAAAGGCAAAGGGTCTTTGGATTGACGAGTTCCCAGGTCTATTATGGGCTTACCGAACCACATCAAAAGCTCCAACTAGAGAAACTCTTTTTTCCCACGCCTTTGAAATTGAGGTTGTTATCCCTATAGAGATCGAGGGTGCATTCTCTAAGGGTCCAACACCATAACCCCATCACCAACGAGGAAGAACTCCGCATCATCCTCGACTTGGTAGAGGAAACAAGAGAGATGATTGTGGTCCGCAACGTGGAGTACAAGCGACGAATGACAAAATACTACAACTTGAGGGTGAAGCCTCGTTCTTTCCAACTATGAGATTTGGTGCTCCAAAAAGTGATTCTCGCCACAAATGATTCACGCAAAGAAAATATGGGACCATACTGGGAAAGACCCTACCTCATAACAGAAGTAGTGAGGCCAGACACCTAAAAGATCCAGAATTCTGAGAGGAAGGTCTTACCCATGGAATGCTGAGCATCTGAAGAGGTACTATCAGTGACACCTTAAGACAATAGAAATGTTGGGGACTTGATTTTCATTTTTGTATTCAATTTCAAAGGAGCATCAGTAGCAAAAACCACATTTACAAAAGTAGGGCTACCAAATGCTTTTCTAAAAAAAAAAAAATCAAAAAGTCTCTAGCACTCTAACTACTCTCATGGTCATCCTCTTCTTCACCTTCCTTATCATCCTCGACATCGTCAGAGCTTTCATCATTATCATCAGGCACATCAGATGGTAAGAAGCCTGAAATATCAATATCAGGAAAAGTAGCAAAAATCTATCATCGAAGCTGCTTATAACCGTCAATAAAGGCATCGGCAAAGTCATTCTCCAAGTCACTTTTAGCCATGACAACTATCTCCTCAGCCTGAGAAGCTCTCTCATGAACTGCCTTCACCTCTGTCTCTGCGGTAACTTCTTTGAGTATGGCCCTCTCACGGTTCTCCACAAGCTCAGCCCTCTCATGGGCCTCCACAAGCTCAGCCTCTCAGAGCGCGTCCCTCTTGCGAGTCATCGTAAGCTCAGCCTCGAGCTCGGCCTCCCTCTCATGGGTTGCCGAAAGCTCAGTCTCAAGCTTAGTCGCCCTCTCACGGGTCACCACAAGCTCAACCTCAAAAGTCTTATCAGCAGCTTTAAGCTCAACAATCCTCCCCTGCGCAACAAGGAGCTTCTTTTGCACAACTTCATGATTCTGCTTCAGTTGGCCGTGATAATAGGCCCTTGAAAGTAAACACATAGATATAGTAGAAGCCTAAAGAAAAGTAAAAGTCAAAAGAATGTCAAAAGCTTAAGAAAGGACTGAAGAAAGGGAGACGACAGATCCTTACCTAAGTCAGGCCTTCCAAAAAAGAGCTGATGATTCCCTCGGCACCCAGAGTACTAATCTCACTAACATCGTTGAAAAACACAAACCTCTCAAGTCGATCCTTTATGACTGGCGCGTTACCCAACATGAAGCTGATCTGAATTGGCGCCCCTCTGGAAGTTCCCACAAGAGGAATGGATGAACGGGGTGTAGAAGATGTGGCTAACAAGGGGGACTCTGGAGTAGGAGATGCAACTGAAGGAGTCTCCGACTAAGGAGGCTCCATTGGAGGGATTGCTTGAAGAAAGCACACCTCGGGCAACACCATTGGAGAGGTCACTAGCCTCGCCACCTTAGGAGGAGGAGTGTTCCTACTAGAGAGACGGGACCCAACCACCATTCTATCCACTGCACAGGAAATGAAGTGTTGTCCTGATGAAAAACACCAAGTAAAAGGGAAAAGTACAAGAGAATCAACATACCCTTTCTCTTCAAAGAGGAGTCGCTAGATCTCGGAGAGGGTCCACCGGCCCTAATACTTACAGAAGGAGAACCGCTGACTCCTCCATCTTTGAGCATGAAAACTCCAAAGTTCCTTATAGGATGAGCCCTCACCGCCTGTAGCTTCCACTCTTGGTCCTTGGAGAGCACAAGAGAACCTGTAAGGCATGACATAAGTACACATCCTACAAGGAATGTGTTTAGAAAAATGGTAAGTATATAAGGCGTACCAACTTTCTTTNCTCGCCACAAATGATTCACGCAAAGAAAATATGGGACCATACTGGGAAAGACCCTACCTCATAACAGAAGTAGTGAGGCCAGACACCTAAAAGATCCAGAATTCTGAGAGGAAGGTCTTACCCATGGAATGCTGAGCATCTGAAGAGGTACTATCAGTGACACCTTAAGACAATAGAAATGTTGGGGACTTGATTTTCATTTTTGTATTCAATTTCAAAGGAGCATCAGTAGCAAAAACCACATTTACAAAAGTAGGGCTACCAAATGCTTTTCTAAAAAAAAAAAAATCAAAAAGTCTCTAGCACTCTAACTACTCTCATGGTCATCCTCTTCTTCACCTTCCTTATCATCCTCGACATCGTCAGAGCTTTCATCATTATCATCAGGCACATCAGATGGTAAGAAGCCTGAAATATCAATATCAGGAAAAGTAGCAAAAATCTATCATCGAAGCTGCTTATAACCGTCAATAAAGGCATCGGCAAAGTCATTCTCCAAGTCACTTTTAGCCATGACAACTATCTCCTCAGCCTGAGAAGCTCTCTCATGAACTGCCTTCACCTCTGTCTCTGCGGTAACTTCTTTGAGTATGGCCCTCTCACGGTTCTCCACAAGCTCAGCCCTCTCATGGGCCTCCACAAGCTCAGCCTCTCAGAGCGCGTCCCTCTTGCGAGTCATCGTAAGCTCAGCCTCGAGCTCGGCCTCCCTCTCATGGGTTGCCGAAAGCTCAGTCTCAAGCTTAGTCGCCCTCTCACGGGTCACCACAAGCTCAACCTCAAAAGTCTTATCAGCAGCTTTAAGCTCAACAATCCTCCCCTGCGCAACAAGGAGCTTCTTTTGCACAACTTCATGATTCTGCTTCAGTTGGCCGTGATAATAGGCCCTTGAAAGTAAACACATAGATATAGTAGAAGCCTAAAGAAAAGTAAAAGTCAAAAGAATGTCAAAAGCTTAAGAAAGGACTGAAGAAAGGGAGACGACAGATCCTTACCTAAGTCAGGCCTTCCAAAAAAGAGCTGATGATTCCCTCGGCACCCAGAGTACTAATCTCACTAACATCGTTGAAAAACACAAACCTCTCAAGTCGATCCTTTATGACTGGCGCGTTACCCAACATGAAGCTGATCTGAATTGGCGCCCCTCTGGAAGTTCCCACAAGAGGAATGGATGAACGGGGTGTAGAAGATGTGGCTAACAAGGGGGACTCTGGAGTAGGAGATGCAACTGAAGGAGTCTCCGACTAAGGAGGCTCCATTGGAGGGATTGCTTGAAGAAAGCACACCTCGGGCAACACCATTGGAGAGGTCACTAGCCTCGCCACCTTAGGAGGAGGAGTGTTCCTACTAGAGAGACGGGACCCAACCACCATTCTATCCACTGCACAGGAAATGAAGTGTTGTCCTGATGAAAAACACCAAGTAAAAGGGAAAAGTACAAGAGAATCAACATACCCTTTCTCTTCAAAGAGGAGTCGCTAGATCTCGGAGAGGGTCCACCGGCCCTAATACTTACAGAAGGAGAACCGCTGACTCCTCCATCTTTGAGCATGAAAACTCCAAAGTTCCTTATAGGATGAGCCCTCACCGCCTGTAGCTTCCACTCTTGGTCCTTGGAGAGCACAAGAGAACCTGTAAGGCATGACATAAGTACACATCCTACAAGGAATGTGTTTAGAAAAATGGTAAGTATATAAGGCGTACCAACTTTCTTTGGAGTGTCCCATCCTCTTGGTACCAATGCCCTATCACCATCAGAAGCCCACTCTCCACCGACGAACATGAAACGAGACTTCCTGCAATGACAGTTGGAGGGGCAGTCCAGTAATCAACTTGTCTCCCATCGTGGTAAAATAGTACCATCCTCGGTTAGGAGCATGAGTCTCACTCAGGTAATAAGCTATGTAAAACTCGACAGGAGAGGCATCTTCATGATGCACCTTCCTCCACAATACCAAAAAACCAAACAAAACTCTCCAATCATTAGACGTCAACCGCTCTGGTGTCAATGAAAAGTAATGTAGGATGTGACAAATAGAAGAAGACATTGGAAATCTGAGCTTAACCTCAAACATCTCCTCATAAATGAAAATGTCACTAGATGAGTCATCGCTAGCAGGCTCACCCATCTCAGCTCGACAACATAGTATCGTTAGGGGAATGTGATAAGTAGAAACAATCCTTAGAATATCATCATCAGTATTGAGCATACTAAAAAGGGTACTTACTTTGGACCCATCATCGTCAAGAGCTACTTTGCTTCGGTACTTTTTGTTACGAGGACGTGAAGAGTTGCCTGAGCCATTACCAGGGAGGTCTTGAGGAATCTGACTTTGAGGAGTTCCACTCGAGGGATCCAGATCACCTGCCGCATGGGATGCTCGCTTGTCGCCAATTTGCATCATCTGTTCACCTGAATCAGCGCCTACGTGTCCATCTCTACGCCTATTTGGGAGCCTAACTTTGTCTCCTCATGCAGCAGGCACCCCCTCCTTCTCCTGTTCCTCCCTCGCCTCACCAAGTGCACGACTTGATTGCCTGGACAGCCCCATAGTCTGGTCTCCCAACATCGGTGTGACCCTCCTTGTCGCTTCATTGTCACGCCTCATAGGCGCCCATGGCACCTCGATATCGGAATCAGTCTGGGTAGCTCACCCCTCAATTGATGCCCCCGTCACGCTGGACAGCAACCAAGCAGTGGTCTGGTTCACCTCGCTTACTCGCCCAATGAAGACAGTAGTAGCATGGGCGCGCAGGCTTGCTCGCCCTTTTCTGCACACAAGGGCGGCTCACCCAAATCACCTCCCCAATGAGTAAAAGGCTTGCCCAACATCTCTTCCTCGCGTGCCCCAGACGAGCGCCCAATAACAGCACACGAATCAGCGCCCCCTGGCGCCTGCATGCCTAGACCAGCCCTCCTATCTCCGATTTGCTCGCCTAAACCAGCCTGCTCAGTGCCCAAACCAATATGCTCGCCCATATTGCCCAAATCAGCACCTAGATGGGCGCCCATCACATCCTTTTCGCGCAAAGTAGGCACGCGCTCAGTAGTAACGCCCAACGACTCCTCCACTCTCTCCGTCTCCACCTTCACTCCGGCGCTCAATGCATCATCTTCTTCGAGGACAACACCAATCACTTCAGGCTCTCTACTAAGATCTACAAACTCTTTTCCAAGGTCGACGATCCTGTGTATGTCTCCTCCTTCGTTGGACATGGATTTTTGAGAACTCATCTCGAAATCTCTAGCTTTGGGTTCTCAAGTATTTCAAGAAAAGGCTTTCCTCCTCTCTCCCAAAATTATATGAAATGGGTGGAATGGGGAAGAAGCTCCCTATTTATACCCTATTAAGGAAAGAAAAAGCAAAAAGCCCCAATTTATAATTAGGGCTCTTCATGATCCAAACATAGAAGTAAAAAAAGGAGTTTATACACCTAATGGTGTCCCACAAACAAAAAGAATCTACTGGAAATGAAGGAGTTGTCAATCAAAAGGAGTCTTCAAGAAATTCGGATTTAAAAAAGGATTGCACGCTATTTTAACCATTACTTTTGATCCGTAACTCCAAAGGAGGTCCATAATATGTCAAATCGAAGCTCTCGACGATCTCTACAAGACTTATAGCCTTTAGCAGTGATAAACCCCATTAAAAGCCCAAAAAAGGCCTAGAAGCACATGTTTTGGCCTCTCGAGGTTTTTCCAGTTATGCCGTTCAGCCGAAAATTCAAACTCAAACTGAATGTCTTCCTTTTCAAGTTCCGTTAGACGCAGGGTATTGAGGGGCAAATGATGGGCTAAGCCCAATGGCCCAACTCAAATTATAAGCCTCGTCCAAGTTTATAACCTAACTCCAAGAGATCCAGCCCAATGTGGTCAACCCGATCAAGCTCATTAGGCTCAAGAAGTGACATTAGCAGAGAGCATGCAAGGTCATCCAAGACCTCATCCTCACCGCCTTGGAAAAAGTCAACCCTCACGTTATCCTTTAACCGAATCTCAGAAAGAGCACGTAACTTTCTTGCCCGTTGAGAAGAGGTCGTCATCTCTATCAAATTAGTTATTTAGTTACTATGAAGTCGCTCCAATCTGTTATGAGACGACTATAAATTGAAAGTCTCGCTAACACTTGGGGGACATCACATTCAGTCGAGCACAACTCTTATATGTCTCTCTCAGCTTTTAACTCTCTATTCTCCCTACACACTTAAGTTAATGAAATACCCGACGACCCTAGTTATTCAAAATAGACGTAGGTCACGTTGACCGAACCACTATAAAATTTGTCTTTGCTTTTGTCTCTATCTCACACTTATTAGGTTTGTACATCACCTAATTTATGCATCATCAAATATCATGAGGTATGTCAATTTTGCTGTTCACATTTGGTTGTTTCAGAACAATGGGTTTTGTTTGTTTCATGATATTGGAATTTATATTTATTCATTTGCTTAAAACTTTTCCGATACTTAACGATGTTCTATTTTTTTTTCTTTAGTTTTTCACTTTCTCCTCATTTTTTTTGCGTTTATATCCTTTTTTTCCTCATGTGGGAAATCTAGTAATATAGTGGGTGGGTTCTATTTTCTTTTTGGTTAAGCTTTTTGGGAAAATGTTATTTGAGAATTGTCAGTGAAGTGGATTTATTATTCGTCCAAACAATTAAATATTTTAAAACTTTTCTACTTGAGTTGATAAACTCATCTAGTCAATGGTCTCTGTGAATTTTTTTGGAGGGGAGTACGTAGTTTGTTAATAGGGCACAGGGTGATTGAATGCATATATATTTTTCAAAGAGTATAGCCAACAAATACCAACCTTTTGTGATGAAATTAGTGTTAGTGTGATAAAATTAGTATTTAAATTAAATGTCAATTTAATGAAATTAGAATATTAATTTGATAAAATTAAATAAATTAAATTAAATGTTAATTTGATGAAATGAAATTTTAAAATATTAATTTTAATTTTAGTTTGGTGTTAAATTGATTAAATTAATGTTAGTGTGGTTAAATTAATTTTTGAATTAATGATATTAAATGTCAATTTGATGAAATTGAAGTTCAATTTGATGGAAGTATATTTTAAATTAAATTGGGGGTGTGTGTAGGATAATTCAAAAACTATAGAGGATTAAAGAGTAAATAATAGGGTCGAAGATTCGAAGAGAAATTCAGTAAATCGCATCTCTGTTTAGTTAGTTAATCGACATAATCTAATAAGGGGTGACAGTGATATTTAGAAATTATAGAGGTGTCCCTGCAATTAGATCAGATTTAATTTAAATTTAATTCGCATGTTACATAATTCAAATTACAATTTAGAATGAATTCAAGTTTAAATGGGATTATTCAATTTTGCTCATGGCTCAGGCTCGAGAATCTAAATCCAGCCTAAGATATTACTCAAATTTCAATTGGGTTTTTTCTTTCAAAAGCTAAATATTGTTCAACCATAAATTTTCCTTTAGTCACGAGATTTTAATGTGATTTGTTTCTTTTTGAATTCAACGTATATTGTATGAAATCTTAATAGAAAGTAGAATAACAGATTCTATGGTTCAAAAAAAAAATCTGAATTTCAACCTTGGATACATGGGTGGCTCAATAATATTTGAGGCCTAAAGCAATGACAATCAATGATATTTTTGTATTTTTTTAATAATAATTTAATTTTTCAATTTAAAACCTATTATTTTTACTTTTTGATGAGATTCAAAATTGCTAATTTTTTAAAATTTTATCATAAATATTTGTAGGAATAAAATTAATTTCTTCATTAATATTTTTATATTCTTTTTATTTGTTTTATATGTTCTTTAGCGAAGCTGTGGAATTAAATGATTGACTTTATTATAAATAAATTCATTGCTATTTTCTTTTGGATTATTTTACTATTTTTGAATTTTATTTATTTATCCATGTAACTTTCACCTAAATTTTTGTTATTTTATTTGTTACAAATAAGAAATTTATCAAAACATTTTTTTTTAAAATGAGAATGAATGGTTTAATTGGAGTTTTGCGTTCAAATGAGAAAAAAAAAAAAACAAGTTTAAGAGAAGCAAAGAATGTGTTTGGTTTGATTTTTTTTTTTTTGACGAAAGAGAAATATTTATTACACTTATTTCGATTGGAGGAAGAGATATATTTTGTCAATATTTTTTTTATTAATATTTTTTGTCTTTTAATAAATATGATTGTGTGAGGAGGTCTAAACTTTTGGGACCAAATTTTTAATTTTTTTATTGGTTTACTCTTTCAAAAATTATTTTTTTTAGGAAATATTATAGTAAATTTTATTTTTAACTTATATTATATTATTGATCTTTAAATTTGGAGCATTTTTCGAATGTGAGGCCTAAAGCCGTCGCTTTTATTTTTACTATAAGGCCAGCCTTGCTTGGAAAACAAGCCTGTCAATAGTCTAACACTTCCTAAATATTTTCGTGACAAATCTGTTATAAAAGCAATAAAACGACATAATAAAGAGTAACCCAATACATTGCTCCTAAGAAAAATTCTAGTATATCTTTTTCTTTCTCGAGCAATAAACGCCCTCAATGAGTAAGAGTCTCTTTTCAACAGTAAATTACTCAAACCCTTAAGCAAAAAGTGTTTTTTTGAAGTGATTGTCAAAAAATGCTCTTCTAAATCGTCGAGGTAACAATTTATTGTCTATTATTTAATAATTTATAAAAATAAAATAAAACTAACCAGTTTTTTTTCATATTTTGATGACTATATTCAAGAACCCTAATAAATTAAGTGGTACATAAGAAAACCGTAAGTCTAATAGTAGTTGTTATCTTTGATTTTTGGTGTTAGCATCATATGCTTGAAACCCAAAATTATGCAACCTTGATTACCTAATGGAGTCATGAGATGCAATTTTGATGCACTTTAGAAGAAAATGATAGAAAGACATTTTGAATGGTTTGAAAAAGAAAAACCTTGTAAATATTTCTGGCAAAATGTAGTTAAATTAAGCAAGTCCATCCACAAGTTAAGTAAGTTACTCATCCAATTTTTGTCCCCAAAATTAAGGTGCTCTCTTACCCTTTTATATTCCCTTTCCCATGGTAATACTGTGAAGCATAATGGTGGTGAATTAAGTATTCTCGTACATAAAACGTTAATGCAATTCAACTGCATATAAAATGAAACGCACATGACAAGTGTAAAAGATGAGTCGGAGCTACATTTGTGCCATTTTTTGTACATTGACCGGATAGCAATCAGAAGGAGGACCATTGTAAGCTTTTCTAGCAAGAATTTGATTCACAGCTTGGGTTGGATGGAAGGCATCCCAGAAGACATGTTGGTTCCTATTGATGCATGGGACTGAAAATGGTAGGCAAGTTATCTGCCCTTTATTCTTTCCAATTCCACAGCACCCTCGATCCTTAACCCTAAACCCTACACCACAAGAACGAATGAACATAGAGCAATTTGAGATGNAAAAAAAAAAAACAAGTTTAAGAGAAGCAAAGAATGTGTTTGGTTTGATTTTTTTTTTTTTGACGAAAGAGAAATATTTATTACACTTATTTCGATTGGAGGAAGAGATATATTTTGTCAATATTTTTTTTATTAATATTTTTTGTCTTTTAATAAATATGATTGTGTGAGGAGGTCTAAACTTTTGGGACCAAATTTTTAATTTTTTTATTGGTTTACTCTTTCAAAAATTATTTTTTTTAGGAAATATTATAGTAAATTTTATTTTTAACTTATATTATATTATTGATCTTTAAATTTGGAGCATTTTTCGAATGTGAGGCCTAAAGCCGTCGCTTTTATTTTTACTATAAGGCCAGCCTTGCTTGGAAAACAAGCCTGTCAATAGTCTAACACTTCCTAAATATTTTCGTGACAAATCTGTTATAAAAGCAATAAAACGACATAATAAAGAGTAACCCAATACATTGCTCCTAAGAAAAATTCTAGTATATCTTTTTCTTTCTCGAGCAATAAACGCCCTCAATGAGTAAGAGTCTCTTTTCAACAGTAAATTACTCAAACCCTTAAGCAAAAAGTGTTTTTTTGAAGTGATTGTCAAAAAATGCTCTTCTAAATCGTCGAGGTAACAATTTATTGTCTATTATTTAATAATTTATAAAAATAAAATAAAACTAACCAGTTTTTTTTCATATTTTGATGACTATATTCAAGAACCCTAATAAATTAAGTGGTACATAAGAAAACCGTAAGTCTAATAGTAGTTGTTATCTTTGATTTTTGGTGTTAGCATCATATGCTTGAAACCCAAAATTATGCAACCTTGATTACCTAATGGAGTCATGAGATGCAATTTTGATGCACTTTAGAAGAAAATGATAGAAAGACATTTTGAATGGTTTGAAAAAGAAAAACCTTGTAAATATTTCTGGCAAAATGTAGTTAAATTAAGCAAGTCCATCCACAAGTTAAGTAAGTTACTCATCCAATTTTTGTCCCCAAAATTAAGGTGCTCTCTTACCCTTTTATATTCCCTTTCCCATGGTAATACTGTGAAGCATAATGGTGGTGAATTAAGTATTCTCGTACATAAAACGTTAATGCAATTCAACTGCATATAAAATGAAACGCACATGACAAGTGTAAAAGATGAGTCGGAGCTACATTTGTGCCATTTTTTGTACATTGACCGGATAGCAATCAGAAGGAGGACCATTGTAAGCTTTTCTAGCAAGAATTTGATTCACAGCTTGGGTTGGATGGAAGGCATCCCAGAAGACATGTTGGTTCCTATTGATGCATGGGACTGAAAATGGTAGGCAAGTTATCTGCCCTTTATTCTTTCCAATTCCACAGCACCCTCGATCCTTAACCCTAAACCCTACACCACAAGAACGAATGAACATAGAGCAATTTGAGATGCATGGAATCAAGAAATGACAATGTACTAACAGTAGAAAATTACCATAGGCATTGGCATTGTCAAGTACGTCATTAAAGGCACCGTAAGTGTTGCCATAGACAAAGATTGAACCAGGATATTGTGCGTTTAGCTGATCAACAAGGGATCTGAGTCTCGTGTTAAACATACTAACAATATCATTCACATAGGATACACACTTCCCCGGTGGGGCAAGACCGGTTGCTAGCTGACTAGGGATGCAACCAAGCGGACCAACTCCGGCCAAGAAGAACTTTCTCAGTCCCAAATTATGGATTGCCTGCAATGTTTTTTTTTCAGTAAGTAAGTTTTAAAATTGTTTCATTATTACTTTGATCGGGTCTTACCAAGATCTGCCTTGAATAATGGTTTATGACAAGATTAGCATAGTCATTGGGTTTGTAAGTGGAGCTAGTGGAATAAAAAGAAGGCTGAAGATAATTGTTGATATAGTCATTGCTACCAAGGGTCATCACAACCAAAGACTGGGACAAATATTGGCTCAGTTCCTGTTGGTTCATTTGGTTCCTCAGTTGATTCAATGTGCTTTCGAAGTTCAGAATTTGATCGTTTAAGTTGAACCGCTGGCCCTGTGTCGTGTGATCATCTGATAATAAGAGAAAATTCGAGGGGAAAAAAAAGGTAATATAGAAGAACTAAAGGTAGATATCTAAATGTATATTACTAGATTTTGGCCTGTCTCAGCAAGAATCCCTGCAGCAGCTGAAGCATAGTTAACTCCCTTGAGAATGTTTCTTCCAGTGGCAAAAGGATTTGCATAGGCTGGAAGAAGAGGAAGCTCCAACAGATCTCCTGCAAAAAGTGAACAAGAGAGGAAAATTTAAAATGCATATATCAATTCTTTATTCATATTTGTTTTTTGGTGGCTAGAAAATTAGGCGGTCCTCTTTTTTTTTTTTTTTATAATTTTTTCACTATTATTAAGTCGATTCTTCTAAAATTTGGTTATGCCACCAGAAATACTTATTAGATACGTTTTTTTTTTCAAAAATTTGTGCATATCTCAAGGAAAAAACGACGAAGTGATTATTGATCTTAATAATGAGAGCACTAGAATCTTAAAACATGACAAATTTGAGTAAGATAATCAGAAATACATATCTAGTTCTAATTGTTTGAGCTACTTCCCGAGTCAAATTAAGGAAGTTTTTTTAATCCCATTTTTGTATGGCACCAGGGACCATTGCCTTGTGTATTAGCTAATGTGTTTGCTTAGCAATCATGAGATTATATTTCAACCTTTGAAGATAGTTACTTTGTGCAAATAATATGAGATACTAGGTTTCTTGTCGAGTCTATGTTCCCAATACTGTCAAAGTACCAAAGACCAAACTACGTGATAAAAAGAATATTTCTTAAATCTTCTTGAATCTGATGTTTTATTACTTGGTTTCTATCTATGAATATTCTATTGAACATACTAGCTAGTTGAAACATAAAGAGAAAAACAAAATGAAGCTCCAAATGCTAGTTACCAAGATAATCTATGATGGTTCTTCCATTGCAGAATCTGCCAGAAGGTCCTTGGTAGAAATCAATGCCATAAGGAACGTAATTGGCTTTAGCTAAAGAGTTGAGGTAGTTGTTATTTCCTGGGTCAGTCAATGAATCTCCAAATGCAAACATGGCTGTAAACTGTTGCGACGCCATGACCGCCCCATTCGAGGAAATAACAGTGCTCAAAGTGATGCAGATTATCGATGACAAGAGGACCGTCAATGCGGGGCACCATCGCTTCTCCATGTTCAACATTATGCGGTGTGTCTCAATAAGGTGAATGCAGATGAGTTTCTGTTGACGCTTATAGGAAGGAAGGCGTTCGAGATAGTGTGTGGAGAGAAATGTGAAGCTCCTTTTGAAAAGTTTGCGCAAAGGTCCATGAATTATTGCCTTTAAATAAGCGTTTTCCCCTCCTTCACTCCTGGTTTTGGGCGATCTTTGAATCAGTTACGCCTTATTGTCATTTTGTTTCTTCTTTTTTGGGCAGTTGGTTTGTGCCATGCAACAAGAAGGACGTCACTATTCATTAGGCCTTGGCAATTTTGTCAATTCCGGGTGAAGTTGAATAACATCTATCGTTAGATTTATTACATGTAGGCTCTAGATAGAACATCCTGCTACTCAACTCGACTATCTATGCCTGTGTCAAAGCCCGGTCCAAGGCAAGAAATTTGTCGCCGCGTCTTTATAAACTCCTGGCCTTGGGTAAAAAGACCTAGGCATTGAACTATCAGCCCCTAATTAAACATTAGCTAAAAAAGCCATTCTACCACACTCCAGTTCTTGGACTAGCATACTTCCATTCACCAACAATTATAAACTTCATAAAGTTACATTTGCTCCGACCAACAATTGCACATTCCGAATGATGTCCATTCTTTTGAAAGCATAAGCATCGTTTATTTGCACCCAAAATAATCATTATTGTCGACGATTCTGATGATGCTTTATCAGCCAATCGCCTGACCGAATCCTGCAGGTTTGCCACCATGCTGTACATCTAACAGTACATTTCAGAAAAGGATATTAACACAACAATCTAGCCAAAAACTTTAAATCAACATAACTCTGGGCATATATAATATAGCATTATTTTACACCGCTGAATTCGCTAGAACATTAAAGAAATTTTAGTTATCTGTACCTACTTTTGACAGATGGAGAAACAAAGCAAGCCCCATCACCGCCCCCCCCGGGCCCCGCGTGGCTAATTCGGGGAAAGAAAATGCACCCGAGCAAGAGGATATTCTTTTCCAGCTATCGAAACACCAGTTTGTGACCACTTGATGTCCTCCCAATCAAGATTCTCCTCCAATACCTGTTCAATAAGAATATACCATGTAGAAAAAATTGTTTGTCTTATCTTAGAGAAGCAGCCCAATTAGTAAATCATTTCTCTTATGTTTTTGTTCTTTTTATTAATTTTAATTTATATGCAGATTCCCTGGCATAACGTAAACTGCAATTTGAAGGGTATTTTCTAAGGCTTCTTTATCCAAAATTACTTAGTTTTATCCCATTGATTTGTATGCAAGTATATATTGCTGCCACCTCCATTGTAATGATTCTACTACCCCGTAGACATGGTCAGTCATGAGTAGATATATCTTTTATATCCACTCATCAAGGTGGTAAATCATTTCACACACAAATGACGACAGACAGACGAGTTTCCGTCAGCCAATATTGACACAAGGTAATACTAGAAAGGCGTACAGCCATAATACTTAATCATGCTTTATGGTAAAAGGTTGCTAAGCAACAAAGACACAACATGTTTAAACTCAAACTAGTTGAATTTAGGCGAATCAACATATATGGTTTCAATCGGAAGCAGACCATATTAACGGATATGAAAAGGAGTTTTATCCATTAATCCAAATTCAATCCACAGCCAATTAGGCCCCTCATAAACAATTTGATTGTCAGTTCAATTTCGATCAAAACCTGTTTTAAGGCTTTAAGCCCCTTCATTAACAACTCGGATTTGGATATCCAGTGATCTGATCCAACTATATAAAATGTAATAGTACTAGTCATAACCCGTGCCTGAAGGTACGATAAAATATAAAATTCGAACATCCAAAAAATCGATCTCCCTATATTAAATAATATTTTTTCTTTCTTTCATTTATTTGATTATATCATTTAAAATTTATTTTATCTATTATTTTTTTTAAAATATCGACACAAATACGTAATCCGATAAATTTTCTCAACATGTTTATATTATTGTATATGAATAATATCTAAAATAAAAAATATATTAAATTACCAATTAATCAAATATTAAATGATTAAACATGTGATAGAAATGGATGATGAGATGAATTTTTTTTTTTTTGGGAGGGGGAGAAATATATATGAAATAAAATTTCAAACAGCTAACTGTTTTATTATATAGATAGTATGTTGTTCTTGTGACAAAAACCAACCTTCCTATATATGCCTCTCCCTTAATCCCTTTTTTCCCCTCTCATTTCTCCCACCACCCTAGCGACATACTTCTCATCCCAAACTCCTCCATAGTGGCCCCTCTTCTCTCCCCCTTTCTCTTGTCACCTACACCGTCCACCCTCCCTTACTCCTTAACTCCTAACTCCAATCCACCACCTCCAAACACATCTGACATCTGCCCTCAGTTCTATATGTGGCTCCACAACAATAGGATTTTTCTTTGTATTTTTTGTAAACTTTTGATCAATTTGAGGTGAAATTGAGCTCATATTTGAACACCCGGTGAAATTGAGACATAATGGAGCTGAAATTGTTGAATTTTTTCAAGATTTATTATTTGTTAAAACTGAGTTGAAATTCACCAGCAATTAATCGTTTATGCAATTAATTTGAGTTGAAATTGTTGCTAATGACATTGATCTGAAGCTATGTCTGAAATAAAATTAGATTTTTGATATTAATAAGTTCAGATTTTTATTTCATAAATGATATCCGTTGGATCTGGATCAAAATCTATAAGATAGGATTGGGGTTTGTTAGATATTTCTTGCTCATATTGTGTCATGTAAAATTGTGCCTCTATTACTTGCTAGTGTTTAGAGACTGAAATTAATACCATGTATGACCCTGATGTTATGTGTCACGGAATCATTTACCTATTGTAACCCATATCGCCATGTGAATCCATGGAGGGCCATCATTGACTAGTTTTCGAAATAATATTTTTTTTAGCTTAGCCCAAGGCAATGTATGCGTGGCTCAAAATAATCTACTTGGGCAATATAAATATACAATTACACTATATGCGATCTAGAGTAATAGAAAAAAGATTACGATACAAAAGCAGAGAATTGTAAAATAAGAAAAGGAAAGAGATCTAAAAGATCATTTTCCTAAAATTTCCGTTTGTTCTAATGTTACCTGGATCGTGGGTCGCTTTGGTACGTGGTACAGATACGGATACATGGTACGACACTTTCTTATGTACGCGATACAATAGGGGTAGGTTTAGCTGGAACGGTATTTTAAGTCGCAATTCGTTTTGAACTCTATGTAAATCGTTTTCACTAATATACAACATTATATATTACAAAACATTCATAAACATTAAGTTAATTACCATTTATCTTATAGTTGTGCTTGATTTTTTATTATCTAAAACAATATATAATTATAAATCTATATACATGTAGTCAATTAATATGTATTTTATATTTATGCTACATGTTCTAAAGCGAATTAATTTAAGGTTAGTATTACAATTTGGGGTCGTTCATTTTGGTGATCTGGATCGCGAACCCACCTCGTTTGAGATCGATGTACCCAAATCGTGCGTCATTAAGGGTTTAGTGAATTGTGGTAACCATAGTTTGGTCCACTTATATCATTACCCCCCTCAATGAATATTCATTTTATATTGGTCAGCCACTTCATATTAAATGATGTTGGTTGTAGTGTGCTGATACACAGAGGTATAAAGTTCATGTGGTCAACTGTTTGTATCACATTCTTACTTTTCCAAAAAGGAGGGGGGGTTGGGGGGGAAGGAACAGACAGACAAAGAATTAGCTCTCACAATAACAGTAGAGATAACTTACTTCCAAATGTTCCAAAGGCAGTGGGATCCCAATTGAACGCATGAGTCTTTGAGGAAGGGGCTTCTTACAACGAGACCATCGGAATACATCCATCACAATGCTGTCACCTTCAGTCACACTTCTTTCACCAGCTGTAGAATGCAAATTGCGATTTTGAGATTTCTGTGTCTCTGGTTCATATGGCTGAGGTGCTGCCGTAGCCTTGACCATCTTCTCTCCATTAAAGCAAAGCTCATACCTTCAGCTAACTTAAATTCAGAGATTGGCATAGAAGTTGACATATCCCAATTCACATACATAGCTCAAAATGTAGGTCCTTAAATCTGACAGAAATATCGAAATTTTGGGAAAAAGTTTCATAAAAGATCTGAGAGGGCAGCACAAACTCCATCACAGCTTTAGCTGCATGCGTTCATTGTATGCATTCCCTAAATCATCTCATCTTATCATATGATTGAAACAAAAAGGTCCTTAGTATCAGGGCTACCAAATTATGGCAATTAACAATAATTTTCACAAAATTAGGTCCTCTAAAGTCTAAAATATCAGGTAAAAATATTAAGCAAAATGTAGTTTGGGTATGGAAAGAGACCAAAACATAAAAACAGAGAAATTTTTTGACATTATCAAAAGAGAAATGAATGCAAAAAATCAATATTTGCTGTTATTGTCAATATTATTTAGTTCATGGGCGACAATTGTGGCTTGTTATCAAGCATCTCGGGAACTTGTGTAGTTTGAGAAAAAATAGGCCATCCAGATCGTTTTGTTTCCAAAGATGGATAACGGATTACAATATGACAAGACAGTCCAGAAAGCAAACATCACAGCCAAACGGCTGATAGCAGAATGCCTGTCTAAGGGGTTACTGGGAGGATAGGAAAAGACTTAATAATAGAGAGATAGACACACTAGAAAGAAAGAAAGCCCTAGGTGAAGATCGTTTTATTTCCAGAGATGGATAATGGATTATAATATGCCAGAAAATAAACATCACTGCCAAACAATCATTTCAGTCTCCTAAATACCTGCACGAGTGAGTTTCAAGATACAAAACTTCTCCCTTTTTCAATCGTGCTGATGTGTAAAGAGGCTTTTTCAGACCTCTGTCAGCAACAACGCTTATACTGTATTTGAGCCTGGAGAATTAGACAAGCACATGGATGAAGTAGACTTAAATTTGAAAGAACACCTCAAAGAAATCATAATAGCAAACAATGTGTTAAAAATGAGGACAACTTATGGCTATGTTTCACCAAACCTTAAACCAATTCAAAATTAGAACTTGCATGTGTCGTATGAATGCCCATACCTCTAATCTTTCACTTCAACTGTTGTGTGAATTAGTCAGTAAAAATTAAGATGCTTGTAATGACAAATGTCAATATGCAGAGAAAGTCAAGGATATTATTAGTACGTCTATGAGACGCCAAAGTTAAGAAGTTCGGCTGAAAAATGAACCGAGCCCAGCTGAGCTCGAATATTTCATATTTAAGCAGATTCAAGCCTAAACAAACACCAAAGCTCAGTGATAGAGATCAAGCCTACGACATAAACCCAGGCTGAGACTAAGCACATTGGAGCTAAGGAGGCTTGGCTAGATTAAAACCCCTATTAAAAAGATATTCTTAACAAATGATTATTTTAGAGGTAAAGCCAGGATTCTTCATTTAGAGAACACCCGGCAGTTACAAGATTTGGTGGCAAAAAACAAGGGCATAAATCACAACTTACATCCTCATGTGATTGAACTCATGATGAAACCGCTAGTATTGTTGCAAATTCAAATCTGTAACATTATGTGTAGAAGATTGACCATATTCACTTTATGCAGGTGCATACATGTGTGTGTACAAGTCCCTATATCCTTCAGCATGTTTATTTTATTCAAAAGTTTTTACTTTTACTTTTACTTTCTGTAATGTCATGAATTCTTAAATGGACAGTAGTAAAATTATTTGTTTGAGAAAACTAGAACAAAGCATTGATGTGAAGATTTATAAGCAAGCCACTCAAACCAAACCATATGGGATTTTTTTTATCCCTTTTTCCCATCAAAACTTCAAGAATTATGATCAAAATAAGAGGAAGGCAGATATAACTAGACGCACAAATAAGTAATCAAAAGAAAATGGGAGACCAACCCAGTACTCAGCCCATTGATGCTGATCCGACTCCAAGCATTAAAAATCTATCCAGATTCAAACTTCAACGGATTACATACATCAAAATCTATGTTCAAAACCAAATCCAACATCTCAACACTCATATTAGTGCGTTGTACCCATTATATACTCCACAATCTATGTCTTTTAATAATAATATACACCGCCATACTACAAATTCGATTGCCTGTGCTTCCAAGGAAAGAGAGGTGGTCATATCGGTAGTATAAGATTATTAATCATTCCACATCTTGCAAGTTATCGTTGTCATCATTGTACCCATTATATACTCCACAATCTGTGTCTTTTAATAAATATACACCGCCATACTACATGTTCGACTGCCTGTGCTTCCAAGGAAAGAGAGGTGGTCATATCGGTAGGATAAGATTATTAATCATTCCACATCTTGCAAGTTGTCATCATTATTTTATCCGAAAGCACTTCTGCTCATAATGCAGGATGGTTCAAATAGGTAACAGTAAAAAAAGACCTTTCATGTATCCAGAAATTAATAAGAAAAGTCAGTAATGAGAATCATCGAAAGAATACCAAGGCTCATTGCATAGATTGTACTGTATTGTGACTTCCCGCACGTATCTTTGTTGCCTCAGTGCATTCTACAGGAAAAAGCCAATAGATATGTTCAATACTATTTACCGAACAATAACCAACAACCACCCTGTCCAAACACGTGTGTGTGTGTGAGAGAGAGAGAGGGGGGGAGAGAGGACACACCCAGAATTCCGTGATACTCCAATATTAGTCATGCACGAAAACCAAAATTGCAAAGTAAACATAAAAGAAAATTAGAGCATTTGTCCAAAAAGAAAACAAGAGTACACAAACTTTTGTGGATACTACAAGCAGGATCAATTTCCGCAAGGTTCAACAACTCATTTGCAAGGGGCTATAATAAGAATCAGTTTCCTACAGCTGGTAAGCCACTCCAGATTGGAGTTCTCCTTAATCACCACACTATCCATGGTAAATAGGAAACCACAGCTTTGTAAATTCCAACATGGAAATTCCCCATGATACTTCAGGCCCAAAGGCGTATCTCACTGTGTTTCACATTCTCTGATCATAACCACTTGCCTTTCCCAAATTACCAAAATTGGGGACATGTTAACCCCCCCCCCCCAAAAAAAAAAAAAACTTAATAGACAGGGTAATTACACAAAAATAAAGTGAAAATTTCTTTTTCCTAACCTTACCTGGACTAGCTCAAGTGGTTGATTTCATGGAATCTGCTGAATTACCAAAAATTATCACCAAATTGGAAAAGGCACCATGTCTAAATTTTGGAAACAACATCAAATGTACTAAATTATAAGTCTGCTTCTGACACTTTTATATGCATATAGCATCCTGTTTATTATTTGACATGCCCATGATGCTCCTTAAACAATTCTCTAATTTCATGCTCATTTTATTGTTTACATCAAATTATCTGCTACACAGGAACATCTCCATCTATCCTGACACTTCAACAGTGCTTGTGGTTTCACAAATATTCTTTGCACAAGGAAAATGCATAAGAAAATACAAAAGGTCCCAGTCAAAAATTATCGGGTTAAAAATTCATTCTTCAACTTTTTCAGGATTCAAATATCCAGGTTAGATCTGACCAAAAAAGAAAAATATCCAGGTTAGACACCCATTGTTTTTTCCCAAGAAATGCTCCGAGGTTTGGTCACGTGAAACGCACTTTGCCAACTTCAAACCGATAACCAACTTAAACAGTCAATTCCAATAGAAAAAAAAAATGAAAACTTCAAGGACCAACATGATACAATTGAAAGAATAAGGACTAAAATGAGATGAATGAGAAAGAGCATAGTGTGATCCATCTGCAATACGTTACAGACCCATTGAATTTTCCTCCTACAGATGCCCCTTGGTGTGGTCATCTGAAACACATTTGCCAGCTTCAAACTGATTGTCAATTTAAAAGATCGTTTCCAATTGTGACCATTCAAACACAACTTAAAAACATTGAAGGCTAAAATGACAAAATTGAAAGAATAGGAACCAAAATGAGACGAAGTGAATATCTTGTAGTTTGTCCAAAAATAAATAAGCGATAAATTCATTTGACGCCAAAATGCAATGTTAGAAGGAAAAGGGTGGGAAGGTGTCAAGATAAAAAAAACTAGCATGAGACTCAGTTTACACGGCTATCCTCCAAGTCTTAACCTCTGCATGTAGAGAGTAGTAATTTCTTTCTTTCGATGCAAGGTATGAATGCTAGTTTTGCTTATCCTGTATGACACANAGACAGGGTAATTACACAAAAATAAAGTGAAAATTTCTTTTTCCTAACCTTACCTGGACTAGCTCAAGTGGTTGATTTCATGGAATCTGCTGAATTACCAAAAATTATCACCAAATTGGAAAAGGCACCATGTCTAAATTTTGGAAACAACATCAAATGTACTAAATTATAAGTCTGCTTCTGACACTTTTATATGCATATAGCATCCTGTTTATTATTTGACATGCCCATGATGCTCCTTAAACAATTCTCTAATTTCATGCTCATTTTATTGTTTACATCAAATTATCTGCTACACAGGAACATCTCCATCTATCCTGACACTTCAACAGTGCTTGTGGTTTCACAAATATTCTTTGCACAAGGAAAATGCATAAGAAAATACAAAAGGTCCCAGTCAAAAATTATCGGGTTAAAAATTCATTCTTCAACTTTTTCAGGATTCAAATATCCAGGTTAGATCTGACCAAAAAAGAAAAATATCCAGGTTAGACACCCATTGTTTTTTCCCAAGAAATGCTCCGAGGTTTGGTCACGTGAAACGCACTTTGCCAACTTCAAACCGATAACCAACTTAAACAGTCAATTCCAATAGAAAAAAAAAATGAAAACTTCAAGGACCAACATGATACAATTGAAAGAATAAGGACTAAAATGAGATGAATGAGAAAGAGCATAGTGTGATCCATCTGCAATACGTTACAGACCCATTGAATTTTCCTCCTACAGATGCCCCTTGGTGTGGTCATCTGAAACACATTTGCCAGCTTCAAACTGATTGTCAATTTAAAAGATCGTTTCCAATTGTGACCATTCAAACACAACTTAAAAACATTGAAGGCTAAAATGACAAAATTGAAAGAATAGGAACCAAAATGAGACGAAGTGAATATCTTGTAGTTTGTCCAAAAATAAATAAGCGATAAATTCATTTGACGCCAAAATGCAATGTTAGAAGGAAAAGGGTGGGAAGGTGTCAAGATAAAAAAAACTAGCATGAGACTCAGTTTACACGGCTATCCTCCAAGTCTTAACCTCTGCATGTAGAGAGTAGTAATTTCTTTCTTTCGATGCAAGGTATGAATGCTAGTTTTGCTTATCCTGTATGACACACCTTTCTTCGGTGTAATGTCCAAGAACCCTAGATGTGACTCTTTTAAGTTTTCTTCTATTTTTTTCTCTTATTCTCTTCTTCCTTCACATCAAAATTAAGCACTCCTAAGATTTCTTTAAGCTCAAAATATGACCTCAACCACCATCATTTTGCTCTTTAAGACTGGTGTGAACAAACCTAAACCATCTACCCACAATACTTCATCCATAGCCCAGAAAATCAGCCTCAAACCATGCCAAAAATTGATGTTCATGTTGCTATTCACCTGCACCACTTCCGCCTACGAAGCATCCACCTTCCCATCCAAAGTTTAGGCCCCTCCCACGCTATGTCAGTAATGCTAAATCAATCCTTGTTTCAAACTAGAAGATTCATTCTGACAGTGAATTGTCTATAATGAGAGGATTTCATAAAACTTCTCCAAGCATAACCAAAGCATTACCACCATATTCCACAGATTTCGCAGTCCATTAGATTTCACAGTTTCTCTAAGAAAGCTTTGCCAAGACAGCCTCATCATATATCTTCACAATTTCTCTGAGAAAACTTTTGCCAAAAGTGACACATCAAATATCTTCATTAGAACAATGAAACATCATCTTGGCACGTAATCAAAAAATACCATAGTAACACCTATAGAGAAAGCTTGTATCCTGAACCGAATAATTATATGATCATACAAGTATGGTCAATGGGTCAAGTCTCCTATTCATTTGCATTTTCTCATATGCATGTTTGTCCATTTGTTTGTTAACCCTACGCCCGGTCCCAAGTGAAGGTGGGTGTAAAGAGAGCTTGTATACTACATCAAATGATAAACACCCAACAGTGGTTTATGTGTCTAGGAGCCTTTCCCAGTCTCCCCCCATTGCCAATTGATTTTAGGTTGGATGCTATAACCCCACCATCAAATGCTGAAGTGAGGCCAAAACCATCATCCAGTGTTGATCCCGCCTATGTAGGGTAATAGGAGAGGTAGACTGGATTTAGTTTTTAGAATATTCTTGCACATAGAGGCTGTTTCAGACTTCGGACCTCTTTTGTCAAACTTGATTGCTCAAACAATTCACCAATAAACTCATTTGAAGAAAGAACTGGTAAAATGAGTATAAAGTATAAACCAGCACTCAATGCAATCACGTCCCGTACTAAATCAAGTACCGGCTTTCTACAATTCTTGTACCAGATTCTTGTAACAATAAAATTGTCTATCAAATCTTCCACCATTAAATTTTAAATCACAACATTAGAGAACAACAACTAAATTGAAAGGGGTGAACTGAAAATCACCACGCAGAATTTGCATATTGACAAAGTTTAGACATCCCCCGTCACAGCATATATTTAAGCAATTGTCCTAAACAAGATAGTGGTTTGTTAACATAGCATACAATAACACAAGATGCAGCTTAATGCGCAACACTGATTTCTCATCTCCATATTCCTCCTGAATAGTGGGAAACTTTAAATTAGGAAACTGATGGGCAAAGAATTTCTGGCAGATTTCTTGAATTAGTATATGATAAAATGCTTTATGTGGAAATACTTCACACAGAAATATCAAAATGCATATGTATAGCATCATACCCCTGAACCTTAGTTGGGTATATCTGCCAACTTATATTTTTTGCAAGAAAGTAAAAGGAGATGCCCCAGCTTGGAACAACCCTCTTCTCCAACATTATTTAGATCACAAAGCGTATCAGAAGCAATTCCAAAATATTTCCAAACCGCAGCATTACCCAGAAAACCCCATTTTCATCAAACCAATCCCTATCCCAAAAGTCCCTTGTTTCATCAATCGATAATTTTTAATATGCCAGGTCTATAAACGACTGTCATCTGCATTTTGTAAATTTACCTTCTGATATCTTGAAGAATAAAAACTCCAAACACATTGTACATCAGCTGCTCCAGGAACTTAAAATGGAAGTAACATTATCTGGTAAAAGATAACACCTAGGAAGTGATTTTTTAACAATAATAAATAACATTAACAATTTTTTATTTTCAAAAAGTTACTTATCGTCACACTATGGTACATCTACAAAGTGATATGATTAATTAAAGGAATAAGAACCATCATTTAACTAGATAATTTGCTTAGAAATATTTTGTTGCTAATATTATAGAGTAATCAACTTATTTATACTCTTTGGACATATGATAATGTATAATACTTGGAAAACACCCATGTGTCTTCAAAGTGATATGGATTTTTGTTGATGTATTGCATTGTATGTGTTATCATAACACCTCTAGTACAACATACTGAAATAAGAATATAAATTCCCACGTGTATATCAAGGCTCTATGCAATGTAGAAATCTTTACCAATCATCTTGTAGGAAGGACGTGATTTTCTGCATCCAAAGATGAACCCATTGAGTCTGACAGAATAGTACTAAGTAAAATTTCACCTATATCCTCAGGTACAAAGGCTCTGAACTAAACCATCACCCAGATACTCTGAATTAAATATAAGCAGCATTAAAAAATCATACAAGTAAACCATCAACATATCAGCTTGACAAAGGTAAAGAAAAAAAGTAATACGCCTGAGACAATAATGTAATAAGTAAGAAAATTCACAATTACATATGCATGTAAGAGGTAGAACAAGATTTCAATAGCCTAAGTAAGTTAATACCGAAGCTGCAGCCCTCGTTGTCATTGTACGCTCAACGGCCACTGGAGCAAGAGTAGGTTCCACAGATGATGTATGCGTAAGACAAGGTTCAAGATCAATGGTCCCATCTCCTTTCTGAGAAAGAGGAAAGGAAAGAAAAAGTTAGGAACAAAAAAAGAAAGAAATCTCAATAGATCACAAATGGAATTGAAGCTGAGGACTGGATAAAGACAATTCCACCTGTTCAAAATAAATAAATAAAGACAATTCCAGGTTTCGACTTTCCAATGTTCAGACAAAAAAGTTAAAGAAGAGGTAAGTCATGTGAGAAAGTAATGATGAAACTCCTGGAAAATTATGGTCTGCAATCAGTAGACACAGGCATCCCAAAATGAAACTGAAAGAAAAATAATACTTATAAATGAAACTGCAGAGAGTTTAGGGGTCCCCAGTGGAGGGCAAGCACAGAGGAAGAAGAAAAGTCACCTTCACAATGCAACATCGCTCAACACGATAACTGCAACCAATGGCAGCTCCCCAGGCACGTGAGCGAACATTGTTTCTAAGAGTAGAAATGTAGCCTAGAACAATAAACAGAACACCACATAAGAAAGAGTATCATCAGCAATACATATAGATCTCAATATGACAAAAAGAAAATGTAAAACATAACTTATCCATGAGAAACATATTTTGTGCACAAAAAATAAGAGGACTGTGATTGCCAATAATCCAGTTTAATGCTTCTATAAAAGTTGGCAAAACATTTTGACTGACATAAGGACTGATATTCCAGTGTTATCCATGGTAAATGACTAACTGATACCAGAGAAGAAATGTCAATCAAAGAGCAAAAGCAACACACAAAATGGAACGAAGAAACCATCTCCCACCTTTTAGCAGCAATCAGGCCCTCATTCTGATTGTGTGGATCAAATCTACCCTTCCTATCCTTGGAACCTTCCCCTTTTTGGGGTAGATCTATCTAAATTCACAAAACTCTCCTCGTCTACTCCTCGAAGGCGTCTATTGATCTTATTCTAGGCCAGACAAGTGGTATTTTGTCTAGATTCCAGAAATATATTCTTTCCTACTGATGTAACTGTTCCCATCTCGTTTGTCCACATGCATTTGGAAGGCCAAGGCCCCAATGATTAAGATGCTGATTTAGGCTGTTGTTCTAAGGAAAGTCAATACCACTGAAATACATCAGGAATCTCATTTCCAGATTTGTTTCTTATGTGTGAAGGAAAAAAGAACCTCCAATAATCTCATTGTCCACTGTCCTGTTACTTAGACTCTATAGTAACACCTTTCCCTAGCAAGCATTTGTTCAATGACCGTGTCGGATAACCAAACTTTACTTGAGACTAGTTTTAGGTTTCGAAGGAAAGACGACAATAGCCAAGATCATGTGGCCTTATGTAATGACAGCCATTGTTTAGATTATTTTAATCCAAAGGAATCCTTAAAGCTTATAAGATAGATTCATCAGTAGAGAAGATTTGGAATAAAATTTAACACTCAGCCTCAATTTTTGAGCTCGGTTACTGAAGTGCTCAAAGGTGTGTAGTTACCCATAATTTCGATTGACCACACGCAATAACTCTTCCATATATGCGGTTTACCTCTATTCATCAAATTATCGATTCCAACAGGACGAGTAAAGCCAGACTCTCTGAAGTCTCTCACAGGTCAAAGGCAATGAGTCATTGAGCTATTTTTTATTGATGATGGTGCAAAAAAGACAGTTTCAATATTCTCCAAAATAACAGGCACAGGCTTGGTGATAGCAGGATAAGATCATTTTTCAAAGGCTTCAAAGAGGTGTTCACTAAACTCATAGCATTGCTTGATTCAAGGCAAATCAAAAAAACTGATCGGATGGGTCAGATATTACATTATCACCTTACCAGCAACACTTTCAATTGTTTCTCCACGTCCTTAACAGATCCTTTTTATGATTACTCCAGATCAACGAACAGATTTTCCCTTTGTTCTTGCCAGGCAACATTTTAATTTCTTGAGGTTTGATTATAGATGAAAGATTGTTGGGATTGTGAGATGTTTTTGAATTTCTAGCCTCTCGCTTATGTTGGTAGATCTATTCCAGTTTCTTTCAATTGGAAAATACTTCATCCTTCTCCCTACATAATTGTCTACTGATATCCATAACATTCTCTATTTAATATCACCAACCATCAAGAGGGAGGTGAGAAGGACATGCATGTATGTACATCTTACAGTAAGATATTGTTGCTTCTAGAAAATCATTTGTACACTTTGGAAACTCATTTTAAAGATATTTGGTTGGGGTGTCCATCCCAAAACCAATTAACAATGAATGGAGAGACTCCTCAACCCTATAAACCAGTTTTTGATGGCCTCAATATTTTGATGTGACATAAAAGCTCTCTTTACACCCTCGCTCACATGTGGCATAGGCTCATATGTATGCTAACAAATCAAACTGCAACAGACAAACATACCAACTACCAAGTAATCTACACGGGTGAGAGACTTGGCTCACTGATCACCCAAAGCTTAGCTCTAGTACCATGTCAACCAATTCAACCCAAAACCAATTAGCAATAAGTGAAAAAGTACCTCCTCAACAATAAACCAACCTACCCCATTCGATGAGATACAAAATCTCTTCACAATTTCACATTCCATTAATCAACTAAAAAAACCAGGAAGAAAAGCTCCACAACTCACTGCCAAATGGTAAATAAAGCAGCCGTATGAAAAAAATATGCACATCTACCAGTGCGAAAACGAAGGAATGAACAAACAAACAGAAACCACTCTCGCATGACAGATTGGAAAGAAGTGAAGTTTCATATAAATCGAGTCCTATCGAATTCGGGATAAGACAATGTAGTCCAACTTTTTGAATACAATTTCACAAAATACTACAGTATCTCTTCAGTCAAAGACAAATATACATGAAAAGTAAATTTTTTTTTTTTTTTTTTTTTTTTTGGGGGGGGGGGGG